TCTGGCCACTCTATGGTCCATGTTAACACAGTTGCATCATGTAGTTGCTGTAGATTTGTCAGCTGTGAATGTCTCCTTGTACCACATCCCAAAGGGATGAGATTAAGGCCTGGTGCCTGGGAAGGTCATTGAAGTACACCGACCTCAATGGCTGTGTTTGCAGGCAAAGATTTTTGACAATCGATTGAATACATTCCGATTATAGAAATATTATGACTTTTTTCATGAAATATTATGACTTTTTTCTCAAAATAGTAGTACAATAGTAGTACAATTTTATTCTAAACAAAAGGACTATATTCTAGCCTATTATTATTATTATTATTTACATTAGCCCTAAAATGCTGTTGGAATATTGTGTACCCACAAGAGCAAGATTAACCTACTTAGAAAGAAAACATGGGTTTGGGTTCACGGGGGCTTTAACTGAATGTCCTGACCCTTGTCTGTATTATTGCATTGTGCTGCTGCCACATGATTGGCTGACTGGATAATTGCAGGACTGAGCAGGTGTAAAGATGTTCCATACAAAAAGGTCTGTGAGTGTACGTGTAATTCTTCAGCCTTTCTCTACCCCATTCATCATTACAGTTTCTGACCATAGAACCACTGTTGTCTAGATATTTTTGGGTGGAAGTCCATTCTCAGCATAGCAGTGACACTGATATGGTAGTGTGTATGTGTGGTGGTGTGTATCAGGCACAGTGGTGTTGCTGGAGTTTTTGCACATGCCAGCCAGTAAATGGACTGTAGCCCATCTGTTGATTCACAGTTTGTTTTAGCTGTCCTCTAAGCATTCATCAGTGGTCAGTTTCTGACTACAGAGCCGCTCTTGGCTGGATATTTTTGAGTGTTGGATCACTCTCTGCCTAGCAGTGGCACTGACACCACTGATGTTCATAATTGTCCACGTCCACCTATTTTACTAATTCCAACTTCTCTCTCTCTCTCTCTCTCTCTCTCTCTCTCTCTAACTGGACTCTATATCTGACTCTGTACTCTAAAGCGTTTACTGAAGAATGTATCTTGTCATCACATTGTTTGGAGAAATATTTTGATCTGCCTCTTCTTCATCCTGATCTCCAGAGCTAAGTGGAACACAGAGGAAATAGACCGCCTGTCTTCCGCTGGCCTGTAAAAGAGGAGCAGAAGGGAGAGAAATAAAAGCGCGGGCGAGCGGGTAGCAGTCTGACTGGGATTCATTCAGTCCACACTAAAAGCCTCTCTCTGTCTGTGTGGCCTAATTCAGAGAGAGGAAGAACATCTCCTGAGAACAGCCAGACGGCATGAATGAAGCAGAGAGAGAGAGAGAGGTGAAAGAGAGTGAGGTTTTGAGAGTAAAAGAGAGAGAAAATATAAACAGAAGAGATGGAGAGATACAGAGGGAAAAGTGTTGAAAGAAATAAAGAAAGAAAGAAAGAAAGAAAGAAAGAAAGAAAGAAAGAAGGAAAGAAAGATCGCAAAGAGTGAAAGAGATGGGGTGAGACAGGTACACATAAAGAAAGAAAGAAAGAAAGAAAGAAAGAAAGAAAGAAAGAAGAGAGAGATACACAAAAACATAGTGAGAAAGAAAAAGAGAGAGAGAGAGGGAAAGAATGAAAGAGAGAAAGAGGAGATGGAAGTGGTGAAACAGAGTGAGGATTTGAGAGTGAAAGAGAGAGAGAAAAAACAGAGGAGATAGAGAGATACAGAGGGAAAAATAGAAGTGGTGAAAGAAACAGAAAGAAGCAGAGAGAGAAAAAGAGAGGTGATGGAATTAGAGATACACAGACAATGAGAGACAGTGAGAAAGGGAGAGAGAGAGAGAGAGAGAGAAAGGGCAGCAGTGAAAAAGAAAGAGAGGAGAGAGATATGCAAAGAAAGAAAGAAAGAAACAAAGAAAGAAAGAAAGAAAGAAGGGAGAGAGACACGTGAGAAAGAAAGAGAGAGAAGGGGAGAGAGAGAAAGACAGAGAGAGAAAGAAAGAGAAAGCGACAGAGAGGGAGAAAGAGAAAGCAACAGAGAGAGAGGAGAGAAAGAGAGAGCAACAGAGAGAGAGGAGAGAGAGAGAGAGAGAGACAGAGAGAGAGAGAGAAGAGAGAGAGAGAGAGAGAGAGAGAGAGAAGAGAGAGAGAGAGAGAGAGAGAGAGAGAGAGAGAGAGAGAGATTTCACACATAACTCCATTAGCTGCTGCTCATTCCGGCGCGTCTGCTCGGTGCTGCACTTTCTCAGAATGAGCTTCATCCTCGTAACGAGACGTTCTCCTCATGCAGCCTGTTAAAGAATACATGGGGTTCTACCTCACTGACTATTGCTGCCATGAGACGTTCGGATAGGAACAAAGGCTAAAACCGTCTGTCTGGACACAGAACCGTCCGTCTGGGCTGGAGTGCACTGACTCCATTTCTCCTATAAGACTCTTGATGTAATACTCAGCATTATGAAGAAATCAGGTTATTTGAGGCAGTTCAGTCTGTTTAAATGATGTTTTTATCCTTTGGTCTGTGGATGTGGCTGTATGGATGGTGATAAGTCTGAAACAAAGTTGAGCCCTTAGTCAAAAATGCTAACAATATATAATGAATATCTTTATCTATCATTGGTAAGTGGCTCCATATAAGACCACTTGCAGAATATAGTAAAATATTTGAATGAAATAATGTAAATTTTCACAATAATTTTCACATTTGATTAAACTATGAGCGAGTTTACATGCACTTAATAATCCGGTAACTGCAGAAAATCTGATTTTGTCAGTAACCTGAACAAAACGTTTACATGCACTTGGGTAATCAGATAATGAGGAAACTCTGGGTCTACATGAGTCAGACAGTAATCAGATTTGAAACCAGTCAATAAACTCACAGAAGAAGACGCGACATAAATATAACGTAAAACTCAAACTTCATGCCGTGGCTTTTTTTAAAAAACACTGCACCACTTTACCTGAAAATATGAACATACATCATCATTTAAATCCTTCATTTTGTCAAGTATGTATTTGGTTTCAGTGTCACTCCTTGTGTTTTGATGTGTCTAATGACAACACTGCTCGCTTATTTCTGGTACCACGGCCTGTTTTTGCACATGTGCAGAATGAGAAATCCAAAAGAAATCAGAGTAAGAGTCTACATGCACTGAGAAATCTGATTACTAAGCTAAAATCCAGCTCTCTTTATCGGATTCCTTAATCAGATTTCTAGACCCTACTCCAATCCAAGAAATCAGAGTGTGCTGTTTACATGACACTTGGAATAATTAGATGATCAGGTTATTGGGTGCATGTAAACACACTCTATGTTACAGCTCTGTACAATGAATCAATGACCCTTCCTTAAAACCTAAATTTTAAGCTCATTGCACTTTGTGTATGGGCTACAGCACGAACTTGTTAGTTACCATAAGTATCAGCTACAGTAAGATATCAGTTGTACATGTAAATGTATCTGAAATTTATTGCTGTGGGAAAATCCTTCTTCAGTGGCAGATGATGCGATCTAAGTTCTGTAGAAAAAAAAATCACTTGTTTTAATTCAGGAATTAAATTGGCATTTCTGAGGTGAAGGAACCTTTTTTTTCCTTACAAAAATCACGAGTCATATTCTTCAGTGTGTATGGTGTTACATGGAGTAGGGCTGATTTTCATGACCGTTTAATCGCTTTATTATGGTTTTGATGAATCGATTAGTCATGAAAAGAAAGCATAAATCTTGTATTTTGTCAATAACTAAAAATTTGAAGTCCATACACAGTATTTTTTCTATAAATTAAAAACACAAAAATGCTTTTTTAAAGATAACACACCGACCCCATCTTCTAAAACATATTTGAAAAAAATGCTATTTTACTCAGCATGAAAGGTGCAGAAATAATAAGGGAACAGTGCATAAACAAATCTTACATTGCAGCCCAAGTGTTATTTTGGAGGTAAAACTGCATTGCTACTCAAATGATTTCTGCTCCAATGATAAAGCAAAGATGAATGTATTATTTTATGTGGTCAGTAGCATCATGTCAGCAAATCTGATGTTACTGAACACACAGAAACAGTCTGGTCATCAGCCACATCAGACCCACAGTGTTCTAAAGTATTACTTCACTATGCATGTGATGTCAGCATTTTCAAAAACATGAGAACAGAGAAAAACATAAAAACATGGAAAAATTTAAAAACACAGAAAAAGTTCTTAAAAATGTTCACCCTGGTGAGCATCTTCTAGAAACTCAGCGGACCTAAATTATCGTTTTCATGAGACTGGGAGGCCAAAAAGCAGAGAAAATGTTTTTAGTCTTAAGATGAGCATTAGCACACAAACAGCTCTAATAATGGATAAGTATTGACCAGCCATGCATTTCAGATGAAAATGCAGCTCATTCCTTCAGTCACTGGTGTTTATTTTGTTAAGCTAAAACAGAGCTAGCTGCAAAGCTGACAATGACAGGCTGTTTGTTAGCCCTGCTTATCACATCAAACAGTTAAATGGTTTTAATGAAGCCTGCATTACTTACTTTCCATCAAATTACAGTACAACAGTAACTTTGGCTGTAGCATATGCTAGCACTACCATTAGTAACATTAGCTGTGTGAAAGTAGCTAACATTAGCTATGCTAACACCAGCATTGGTAACATTAGCTATATGAATGTAGCTACAGTAACATTAGCTATGCTGGCACTAACATTAGTAACATTATAAGAATGTAGCTACAGTAACATTAGCTTTGCTGGCACTAACATTAGTAATGTTAGCTATATGAATGTAGCTACAGTAACATTAGCTATGCTAGCACTAACATTAGTAACGTCAGCTATATGAATGTAGCTACAGTAACATTAGCTGTGCTATGCAAATATGTACTGGATGAGTTTGATAAGGAATTGCAGATAATGCTGCTAATGTCCTTCATGTGCACCTTCATATGTTAGAATTAATAGTTAGCTGCTATTTTTCTGTAATTTTATTGGTTCTGCTCTTTAACAGTAAATAACCTGCTTTTTCCTCCCTCTGTGTGTGTGGTCAGATGTGTCAGTGAGCCTCCTGTCACTGATGGTCACATCCTGTGGTCTGGCTCTGTTTGGCGTCTCACTTTTCGTGTCCTGGAAGCTGTTCTGGGTGCCATGGCGAGACCGCTGCCTGCCATCCAGTCTGAAGGAGGAGCAGGGCGAGCAGCAGCCCGTCCTGACCGAAGAGGAGCTCCTGGAGCGCGAGTACAGCGCCGACTTCACCAAAGACTCCTCTGGGCCCATGCTGCTGCCTGAGTCGGCCATGAAGATCAGCCACACGTCACCGGACATCCAGCTGGAGGCTCAGAATAAGGCCAAGGAGCACAACCACGTGCACATCGCTCGTGTGCAGAGGCAGGTCACTGAGCCGACCTCGTCCGTCCGGTAAGTCCTGCAGCTAAGTCTTCTGGTGCTGGACTTCTTTGAAGAAAGGATCCTCACGTGCCATAGCACTTACTCTGAGACTAGGTCTCATTTAAATCCCAATTCAATGTGGATTTATTTTAGCTGGGGAGGTACTATATTAATGATTCCTGTATGAATCTGCAGTGTGTTTAGTTTTTAGAGTGTGACAGCAATAATTGTGGAGTAAAAGAGTCTTTTTGCTAATTTACACAGCAGTGTAAGATGTTGTTATTGTTATTGAGAGTGCTCTGTGGCGTGTCACTGACTTTCAGTCTGGGCTATCTGTTGGAATTTGGGGAAATTACTTTATTCCATCCCCAAAACTAGCCTAAGTATGAAAAGTGTGTTGATCCACCCTCTTTCGCTTTGCTGCATCATTACAGTAATCACTGCAGCTCTTTAAGCCGATTTCTAAAAATCAGTTGGCATTTCTCTTCCTGTGAGCACAATAAAGCTTTGTTTTGATCAGTGATCATCAGCCAGCTGCCTTGTCAGTTCGTCAACATGACAGATGTTGTGCTTCTGCAAAAACATAGTTACAGCACAGTTAAATAATGTAACTAGAATAGTTATGAAGCTATGAAGTAAAAATGCATTGATGCATTGATTTGCATCTAAAGATTCAGCTGCATCGCTGTGTTCATTTTTCAGCAAAATAAAATTCTCAGGCTATTTTCAAACATGCTGTTAATGTTCATAGTCTTGAATCATAGCAAAATAACTAAATGCAGCTGAATTGTGGTGAAATTCAAAAATATCCCTATGCAAAGAATCATTCCCTAGATCAGGGGTTGGCAACCCAAATGTTAAGAAGAGCCATTTTGTCGCTTCATCAAAACTCAAACCACTTTGGGAGCCACAACATTTTATATCCATTTTATAATCTTGGCTGTAAATATGTTTCAGTATGTGCTAAAGTCCTAGTATAGACAAAAAATATCATATAAATGAAAACGCAGACTTACTTTGCTCTGTTTAAGCTTTAGTTCAGATATGGCTGCTTTTCTCGCATCTCCGTCAGGAAACAAATTACAAAATAGTTTCTTGTGAAATGTCTCTCAACTTTGTACAAGACTCAAATCAGCTTCTCGTTCGGGAGCTTCTTGTTCAAATTTTTCTGTTCCACCTTAAATGGTGCCTGAGGCGCCGGAATGTAACTGCTGCACCATTTAAGGTGGAACGGGACAATTTGAATAAGAAGATGGCAAACGAGAAGCTGATGTCAGCTTTGTGACAGATTCTCGATGCAGATTATATCAGGAAACCAGCTAGTGTGCTTGTAAATGCAAATTTTCGTCTCCAAATTATCGATGTCTGTCTTAAATCTTTCTCTTTGTCTTTTCATTAGCTACTAGCTAGTCCAGAATGTTATCTGCATTTCAGGGTTAAAGGTTGGTAAATTAGCAGTTATAAGCTACATTATCTCCAGTGTTTAAGACCATTTATTGTTAAAACTGTGTTGAACGATCAGCAGAGCTTTATTTTACTGCAAAGGAGGATTATTTTATTTTTATCTAAAAATCTAATTCTGCTGTGGAGCCGCAAGAGGGTAGTAAAAGAACCACATGTTGCCAACCCCTGCCCTAGATCATGACTGAAGTGAATTGTGATGAACTTTATTATCTCATGATGCATCTAATTGTTTCCTAAAGAATCATAATCAAATGATCGTGAGGTCAGAGATTTACGCTCCTGCTGTTGGTTTTCTTGCTGAAGACATAACTCCATCAGGAGGCAGATGAACCTGTCCAACCCTGACTTCAACCCGGCTCAGTTCCAGCGGCAGGAGTCCCTGTCCGGTCCAGGGTCTCGGCCGGATCAAACCGGAGCTCTACAAGCAGCGTTCCGTGGACACGGATGACGACGGTCGGCGAGCAGACAGCTGCGGCCGGCTCCATTTCATCCTTAAGTATGACTGCGACCTGGAGCAGCTGATCGTGAAGATCCACAAGGCTGAGGATCTGCCTGCCAAGGACTTCTCAGGGACCTCAGACCCATATGTGAAAATCTACCTTCTGCCTGAACGCAAGACCAAGCATCAGACCAAAGTGCACCGCAAGACTCTGAACCCTGTGTTCGACGAGGTCTTCCTGTTTCCCGTGGCCTACGCCGAGCTGCACTCGCGCAAACTGCACTTCAGCGTCTATGACTTCGACCGCTTCTCCCGCCACGACCTGATTGGACAGGTGGTGGTGGACAACTTCTTGGACCTGCCCGACTTCCCCAGGGAAACTAAACTCTGCAGAGATATTCTCTACGTTACTGCGGTAAGACATTTCCTTGTGTCAAACTGGGTTCTTTCTGGGTTACAGCTTTGTAGAGATTAGCGTTTTCCCTCTTCCATCTCGCTGAATTCAGCTGAGCAAGTTGAATGAGGCTTGTTTAATGTAGAAGAGTGCTTAAGTCTGCAGAACTGTGGCCTGCAAAGACTGGAGTGTAACTCATGTGACAGTGTTCTCAGTGCTCAATCTATATTTAAGCATTCTTGCCTTGGATGTACAGTTCTAGGTACAGGACTTTACGTTATGTGGAGGTTCTGTATAGTGTTGGTCGAGGTTTTGATAAGGGTATCAGTCTCAGACCAGAAAACCATTAACAAACTAGTGATACTCATTTGATTATGAACAATATTATATTTAGGGTTAGGATTAGGAGTAGATGTAGGTTTTGCCTTGAGGTTAGGGGTAGGGTTAGGTTTAGGGTTAGAGAAAGATTTAACAGAATCCGCCACACTCAACTTCGAGTTCACTTGCATTTCATAGATATTTAGTTGATATTTAGTTCCTGTAACTTTACAGGAGAAGCGAAACACATACTTTACTTTTAATGTAAGTCAATGGAACCAGAATGTTTTTTCCCATACCTTCCACTGAACTAAGACACTGTTGGCTCTGTGTGTGTGAAAATGTTTATGAATCTGTGTTGAGATGCTATAAAGACAAAACTTGAGTCACTTCTGTTTCTGTAAATCCTACACACTTCAAAATTTATTCTATCAACTTTATTGAAGACAAAAATATTGCATAGTTCAGCTGAGGGACCTCGGAAATAGGCAAAAATTGCATTTTACAGCTACTGTTGAAAAAGGAATTAATGAAAATGAAGTTGGTCAATGTTCTGGAAATACTGATAATGCCCACAATGCCCACAAAGCTTATTTCATAACAATATCGTCACATCACCCATTCCAGTACTGAATAGGCCATGCCTTTTTGTACATTTGTCAGACTCTAAAAAAGCATTATTAATATGCAAGATTGGCCCACTGACGGAGAATCATATCCTCCTCAACTAATAACTGCATTCATTATGAAACAGCAGAGCTGAATAATATAGGAGAATAATTTTTGTCTGATTTAATTTAGAGCAGAAAATCAGCCTTTTCAGGAGCTCTCTGTGGCCTCTCAGGAGGCACATTACAAAAAAACAAGACATTTATAGTTGGGGAAAAAATTCTCCATAGAAGTATGTGTATACCAGATATTGACTATGAGCAAGCTGCATTGTTGATGGCTTTGGATCACTCGCTTAAGCCTGTATAGAGCTACTGTATCAGGTAGACAGGAGCTGACCTCAGACTCGTATTGGAAATCAATGCGAGGAATGTGTACATCGATAGAAGTGTCAGGTACAATTAAACAAACTCAGAGGAAAACCACAAACAAAATTGTGCATTTTGACAGCTGAACAAAATAATCGATGCCGAATTTAATCAAAGATAAAAAAAAAGGATGTTCCAAATCACCTCAGTTTTCTCATCTGACTTTCAAATAATCTTTTGGAGGAAGAATTCCACCCCAGCAATAAAGCCAGCCGACACCTGAGCGTAGTTCTTCCGCTCAAATCGATAACTGCTGATGGTTTTTGTCTAGAATGTGAGAAGCTTAGAACAGCGTCCCTCTGAAGCAGCCGTCTCGCAGTGGCATCATGCGGATTTCAGTTACAAGTCTATACAGTGTTCAGAAGAATTGTTGCTATGAACTCAAGTTATTTATATCAGCTTCTGTTGGAAATTCATCCCACTCTTCTTTATTGGAGCTCTTGTTAAAGGCTGGTCATGAGCCACATTAAAAATAGTAATATAATAAAAGTTAAACATTTCAATATATGAGTGCCAGAAGGGTGTTTCGTCTCTGATTACAGGAAATGAGGTGGCCCAACTGCTGTGGTGCCGTCGTTAAACTGACAGCACTTTAAGCGTGGAACTGAAATGAGAGAGTGGTGGAGCAAAGGAAAAAGAGTAAGAGCTTCATTAGTGTCATTTTGTTGCGAGGGCAACTTTAAAACGGATTATTTCTTCATTATTTCTTCATTAGCGTCATCATTCATAATTATGTAATATAAGAGCAGGGCACCGTGGTGTTTTCAGAAGTATCCTCTTTAAGCAATAAAAATGAAGATGAGCTAATTGGCCATGAAATTATGGTAATTGGACTGTTTGGACGCTAGCACCTTTCAGTGTTATTCCTCCATGATAACATCAAGGCTGTGTACGGTGAATATTTGAAGGCTAATTGAGTTACAAAAGGAGGCTCCCTTGACTCGGTGTGGTTAGAAGTGTCTTGCTTTATAGAACAAATTAGAATGAAACAAAAGCAAAGGACACACTATATGGGTTTTCTGAGGGACCTGCTGTTAATAAGAGCTAGGTTTGTTCAGTGAATGTGCCAGCCAAACCTAAACAGCTTCAAAGCGAAAGTCATCTGAAGCGTTTTTGGGCTTGCATGAGGCTCCTGATGAGACGTATGCTGCGTTCAGGCGCTCATTAGAAGGTTGTACATACCAGATGGTTAACTAATAAACACGATTGCACTCTGTTCAGGTGCTTGTTGAAAGTTACGCCCACCAGAGAGGAAAAGAAAACAAGGAAGAAAATATATCCTGCTTTTTAATTGCTATATTAACATATTATACATAATATATTAATGATACAGAAGTGCACCAGGTATATTTATACTAGGCATTTTTCACAGACACATTAACCAAAGCTATTGTTTTTCACTCACAGAACGGTGAAGGTCGTGTTAAACTTGTGTATAATCTACAATCTCAAGTTTCCCACTTGTGAACACAACTTTTCATATGTAATTTATGAATAGGAAAATTCCCACCTTTTCTAACACCCTTCAAATGCATTATTCCAAGCTTTATTAGCAAATTGTAGGCACCAGAGCTGGATGGTGACTAGATTGATTGCATTTAAAGAAGCTAAAATGAAACATGTAACCATCACTTTATCTGTGCTAAACATGCCTACTGGCTTCCTCCAGTGGTGCCACAGTAAACCTGAGAGTTCGGTTCCCCGGCCGGGCAACCAGGCTCCTTTCTGTGTGGAGTTTGCACGATCTCCCTGTGTCTGCACTGGTTTCCTTTCACGGTCCAAAGACATGCAGTCAGGTTAATTGGATACGCTAAATTGCCTCTAGGTGTGAGTGGGGCTATGTGCATCTGCCCTGCATCTCCACAGATATTTTTTATGCTAGACTGGCAACCTGCCCAGGGTGTATCCTTTTGCTCAAAGACCACCCTGTGACCCAGAAAGAAAAGCGGTTTAGAAAATGTGTGTGAAAACTTTTGAAAAACTACAACTGGTTTGTGCCAAATACTTGAATCCAGGCTTTTTTCCTGCTAGTTAATGCACAAAGAAGCCAGACAGTTAACGTTACTGCTAGGAAGCCATCAAGTATGTCCTTATTATTTAGTAGCCTCTACATGAATAGTGTAGGACTGCTTTATCGCAGAGTGGTGAGGTGAAGCATTTGAGAAATGCATGCTGGGTGTTTTAAGTGAATACTTTAACTTCTTCAGAAGCATTGACATTTATTTGCTAATTCCTTTTTTGAGTTTAATTTCATTCTATGCTTCTGGACTACTTTTGTTGTTACTCACACCTCTTACTTTGGAGCTTTAGCATTATATTTTAGACCAAAGGCATCCTAAAAAGAGATAAATAGAAAATAACAAGCTTCACCTTCTGCACTGACAGATGTTGGATGTGCTAAAAAATTCGACTGCAGCTGTATAAAGAAGTGCATGAGAAGTTTTTGGATACCTTTTTACTTAAATTAAGCTTTTGGAGGCGACTTTTATTTCTACTTGAGTTATTATTTCATTGACGTAACAGTACTTTCACTAAAATGTTTGGGCTCCTCTGGTGTGGGCCAAACTTGCTCAACTCAGTTCAACTTGGAAAGGATAGAGATATTTGAAGATATATATCCATCTCCACAGATCATTTTTATGCTTTCAGAGTCGGAACATAAAAATATACTTTGTGTGCATAGTTAATGACGGCACTAGAAGGCTCATGTTGAAATGACCTACATGCAATGTGGCAAGACAGGCCCTGCCTTGACTGGAAGCTGCAGTTTTAGAGATGTATGGCATTCACACAGATGTGCAACCTCCAGGGCAGCGTCTGGCTCCACACAAAACTGATTGCTGTCTTATACTATTCCCAAAGGAACACTGTATCTTTTTTGGATGCCCTCAAATAAGAATGATAGTCAGGTTTTTTCAGGTTTCAGAGTTTTAGATCTCTCAGAATGCAGCTGTAACTGACCTTCAGGTTTATTTGAACTGCTCCACCAATGCTTCTTAGCTTGATGCAAATGTATGCAGCATTTCTACTTGAATAAAATACATCAATACAATTAATATCCAAGAGTAAGTAAACTTAGTCTGAAGCAAGATTGGGTGGATATGATCTAGGGTGACCATTTTTAGAGAGGGTGCATACAATCGAAGGCATGAATATCGTAGTGGGTAATACTTTGTGGATAATATAGTCTTATAAATAGACTTTTAGATTTGTAATCAAACAGACATTATTCTGCATTTTGCCATTAACATACAAGGTAACACTTTCTATGAATACTGTGTCTATAGTAATAATACATGTCAAGAAAGTTAGGACAGGGGCAACAAAGGACTGGTAAAGTTGTGTAATGCTAAAAACACCTGGTGGAACATCTCACAACTAATTAGGTTAATTGGCAGGAGGTCAATAACATGATTGGGTATATAAAGAGCATCCCAGAGAGGCTGAGTCTTTTAGAGGTAAAGATGTGGAGGGGTTCACCAATTTGTGAAAGACTGGCAAATAGTGCAACAATTCCAGAATGACATTTCTCAGCGTAAAATAGCAAAGAACTTGGGATTTCATCTTCTATGGTACATAATCTAATAATAAACTTTCAGAGAATCCAGAGAAATCTCTGCATACAAGGGACAAGGATAAATACCAATTATACCTGGCCATGATCCT